CGACAAAAACCATCGCTATGTATCTTTCCATGTTCTTGTGGAATATTCACTTTCGTTTTGTAGGTTTCGAGAGTAATGGAGAGAGGCCCAATGTGCACTTGTGAAGGCATGGAATGCCTATCCAAATTTAGCACAATTTTAAATTTTAAATTTGTCTGTTTCCCAAAAGTGCTCTATGGTTGGTTGGGGTTGACAGCAGGGTGAATGGCTGGCATCGGTCAGGACTCGAGGCCGTTCACTCTAGCCAAGCCCCCATATTAACTGAAGTTGTATGAGTGGCCCTCGATGGCGGGAGAAAATTTCAAGTCCCTTTGCGTGGTGGCTGGATGGTCCACATCTTCAGAGAGCGAAATAAGAAGAGGAGGATGCATGGATTCGGAGCTTAAGGGCTCAAATCTTGAGGCACACGCGTAATGTTCGGGGTTGGAGAAAGAAGGAAAAGAGTTTGTGGAGCTAGGAAAGTAAGGGAAAAAGGGAGAGCAGGCGAGGGGGAAATGATGTCTATAGGAACAGTGAACATTCATGCGTCGTCATAGTGTATAATATACTTTTTCATAATAATGTCCTCAATAATCTACATCGAAGGAATGAGATGACCTGTGTGACTCGTTGTCTTATACTATATAGGACGAAAGTTCGCAGTCTGTGACATTGATCTGCTATATGCAGGCATCCGAAGGGCATACTCTTAGTAGGACTTGTTCCACTCAGCTCTGGACGTGATTGCGGTCAGATTCGTCCAGGTCCGGCGGTGGTTGTGGTCAGATACATTTAGGAAAGAGCTAATGTGAGTGTGAAGGCATTATTGCCTTTCCCATCCAGAGTCATGGCAGATGCCAATTCAGCTTTGCCGGTACAGGTTGAGTGAATTGCTCTCCGTATCTTCAGTTGTTCTTTTTTACTATATCCAATATAGCAGCAATCATCTCGATCTACGCGTGTCATCCTTGTGCAGGGGCCATGCTAATCTTCAGTCTCTGTATTGTTCCAATTTTAACGGATATCCCGAAGGACAATAGTAGTCATCAGATGACGCTATATGACAGTAGGCATTGAGATTGAGCCATAGTAGCCCTTGCGCAATGCTGAGAAGGGGATCTGCGATGAATGATGATCTCCCAATGATTGCCTGTAGGATTGCAATATATAGTTCATGTCTGTCACTGCTCAAAATTTGTCAAAGTTTGGGTGTTGCAGTTTGTTCTTGGCATTCAACTGCAGCCCGGTTGTTTGAGGAGGATGACGAAAATATATAATATTTCAAGAAAAGCTTGGCTCAAACCACCAGCACTTTTCTCCGACCCTGGAAATACCCTCCCTACGTGCCAAAAGAACAACGGATCGCCGCGGGCCTTCTTTTGGCTGGGTACTGCTGACCATTTTGGTCCAGTAGGGCAACCCTTGAAACTTGCGGCTGTGTGCACACTGCAAGTTATAGCGGGGGGAACATGTCTAAAACAATATACCTTACCTTATCCCAGGAGGCTCGACGCGTGCAAGAGTCGACGAAGGCGTCTAGCGAGCCCTCTGGAGGCTCGCTGCAGAGTTGGAAACAAATATAGCAAACACAACATGGTATAGACAATTTACTAATTTAGAGTTAGTACTGGTGGTTTTAACTTTCAGCGGAACTTCAGCCGTATATATTGATGTGTGATATAAGTCCAGCCAATCGCTTTTCGTTATCTTTTCTTCTGCCTCATCTTTATATGATGGTTAAACCACCAGTACTTGGCCCAGCTATCGGCCGTGGAAAAGAATAGAGTAGAAACGTTTCTAGTCGGATGAATTTGGGTGCTCCTGTAGTGGCCCGTACGTTTCCGAAAATCGTGGCTTGGTATCCGGCACGACCTTATTAGGAAGTACTGGTGGTTTAAACCACCAGTTCACACGAGCGTAAGTTGACAAAGCTACCTTCCAAGGGCTGTGAGCCTGCAGTCGCGCCTTTGCAAAGTGGCCTGCCACTTTCGCTACCAGCCCTGGTGCCTCGAAGCCAAGTGCTCTTAGCCTCTTACCGCGTATGCTGGAAAGAGCACCAGTGCGGTTCGTGCGAACTGATCGTTCTAAACCACCAGTACCATCCTCCGCTATCGATGCTGAGCTTAAAATCGCCCTGCGTGCCCAAAAAAAACGAACGGGCGCGGGCCTTATTTTGGCTGGCGCCACCAACCATTTCGGGCCGGTAGTGCCGTTACCTGCTTGCTCACGAATACACCGGCGTGTATTTGATTTTCAAGCGGGGAAAGGTACTGATGGTTGTAGGGAGGCGGCGGAAAATGACGGATTGTTGCCCCTTTCCTCCTACCCCCACTCCCCCTCACTCCCAGCCTGTTCCCCATCTACAGCTGGTTGTCTGAGCTTGCTCGTCTTATGGTTTGTGGCACAGTTCAATTTGCATGGACCAAGAGATACTGCTCATTCAAATTCACTACGTGCGGCGGCTGCAGCCAATATTTCGTGGTCCGGGTTAGTGGAATGGCAACACTGGAGCGGACGGCATACGAGGTCCAGGTCTGGTGCATGGCACACCTGAAAATATACATTGAGTGTGGGATAAGTTATAAGCCCTCGCTCCACTACCGACCAAATGTGCAAAATGAGACGGAATCTTGCACTAGAACATGGAAAGGTACACCACCATATTTTTTGCCATTTGTGCACATGGTGAGTACTGGAGCGAGGCCCTAAGTCGAGTTTCGTTGGGAGTACTTTTGATAATCATCCTCCCTCTCAACTGCAAACAAACAACATTTTCATACGTACAAAGTTTTCATTGTTCAGTTTTCTAACTTTTCTTGCATTTTATGCATTAGCTATGATATCTAATTTTCAAATATGGATCTCATCAGAACACTGCGAGTAGTAAGTTACTAGAATTTACTTTTATCTTGTTGATTAATTTAAATGAACCATATCTAGATATCTAGGTAGCGAACAGTAATGGCTGTTCCCAAACTCATTGACAAAACGATACATAGAATATGTGTAGCACACCGAACATGTTCGGAGCTTTCCCGAACGTCCGAACATGTTCGGGTGTTCGGCCGAACGCCACCCGAACGTGTTCGGCCGAATATATTCAAAAAAAAAAAGAAAAAAAAAAAGCTTTTTTTATTGGTTTTTGATTTTTAACTCGAGTTTGGTTACGAATTTGACCATACCTCAAAGCAAAAGTTGTTTGTATTATTATTTTACATGCCATATATTGTTTTCAGAATTTGTGGAGAAGATTTTATTATTATTATTTTTTTTTAATGTTCGCGTTCGGAGAGTTTCGACGCTCGTTCGGGTTCGGTCACCGAACCCGAACACGATGCTACACATAGAGATCATATAAAAATACATAGAAATCATATATAGCAAAACTATGCAAAATACAAACACTTTTTCGGTTACTATTAATTTGCTATTAACATAACATATAAGGTCATAAGAATGCGTTTGGAGGGCCACACAGGACAAAAGCTCGCTGATTATCCAAGATTTATCTGTCCAATGACGCGCGGCTTTCTTTTTTTTCCTTACTGGATGGTGCTCTGATCTATTCCTGAGGAGCAAGACGTGCTGGGAACTGGGCCCGGTTTCCCTTAAGCAATAATACTGAACAATCAACGTGTGGCTCAACGCACGTGCAGATATGAAACCACCGCCACCTCTGAGCCTCGTTTTGTCGAGGCGGATCCGCGCTACGCACCAAGCTTTGCTGAAGCATCGGCACGGTGTTTTTTTCTCGCTTTTGGCTGGCGCTGTCAGCCATCGGGGTCCACTTGCCCTGAGCCTTCGTAGAATTGGAAATGTTACACTAAAACCCACACCGCCTCCAAACTACTTTTTGCTGAGGAGGGTACGCGCGGCACGATGTTTTTTTGCTGGCGCTGTCAGCCATCAGGGTCCGGTTTCCCTGAGTCGTCTCTGTAGAACCGGGAATGTTACACTTTCGGGTGTTGACGTTGTGTGGGAAAGGTAATGAGGGATGAGCGTATCAGGTCATGGGAACAAGTGTGGAGCAGCACCAGGGTGAAGGCCTGAGGACACAGTGTATGGCCAGGTGCACATGCCCACTGGAGAGGAGGACGTGGCTGGAACATTAAAATTCCTCCATGCGCAAATGGAAAGAGCAATGGTGCTTCTTCAGTTCAGATATTCTGCAAATGTGACGAATCGACTTAGAAAGAGAGAAGAATAGTGGTTTATCCATGGTGGCACAATGACGGCTCAGTCTGCGATGTCTGTTGTCAAGTTGAATAGGGGTTTTCCATGCAGCCATCATGGTGTGGGGGGGTGTCGAGTTCTCTGTTCCCCCACTGGAACCGCCTAGAAACTCAAATGGGATCTATACTTTTTGGGGACATCAGCGCAGCGGGCCTCCGGTCTGCCCATCACTTTGCGCTCCCAACCATGATGATCGTGTGACCGAGAATTATGCAGTCGGTGTGTGAATGGGCCTTATTGTTTGGCCAAACAGATTTGTAACTTGGTACATGATATTGGTATTAATTTGAGAATATCCTCGAAGAACGAGGAGCTGGCTAAACATGACCAAGATCACGCCTCTCGACCGTAAGAAAGGACCTGCTGAGTCATTTCCGTGGTGGTCCATCACAGATTCACAGGTATACTATACGCCATCTGGGGGCGACTCCAGGGCCTTGATGTTCCTTTTGTGCAACCAACCTAACCCCTCTTGGTCCCCCTGTTGGCTTACTGCTGCCTACAAGACTTGCCATCCCAGTTTCCCGCATGCATTCCCTCTTCCGCCCCATCCCCGCTGCCCCAGTATCTCGAATTCATCCTTGGGACTAACTCTTGCTCTTGTCGGACATGAAAATAAAATTTAGCCTCTACGATTTGCCTCCGTCGTGGTCCTCTGCTCGGTTCTTCACACCCACCTCCCCGCTCCCTTCTCCCAGCCCAAGGATCTGACAGTTGTGTGCTTCTGTGGCCGGTCGTGCTGATGTGTTTTTTTTTGGTTTCTATCTCTTTGCTTTGTGATTTGGCAGAGTGGCCCGGAGGTAACGTTCTTCGGAGCCGGTAACTGTCGGAGAACATAGAGCGGACAGGATGGGGGCTCGATGCTGCGCTGCTAACAAGAGGAATTAGGGCTGCGTGTCACTGAAACAGTTTGCACAAGATCTCATTCATCGAGGAACGGAACACATGCCGGAGCGTTTTGTACAAGAGTCACATTTTTCAAATTGATTGAATGCTTTTGCATGCAGCACATGCAACCTAATGCAACGTCTCTCCTTTCGGGCAGCGAAGATCGAGCCCATGCAAGGAGCTTTCCGCAGCTCCTGTCCAGTCAGCCAACCACAGTGAATGTTTCGAAAGGTTAGTCATTTGCTCCCTCACTGTCTATATGGCTATATTTGGCTATTTGGCTGTTTGTCTGTCTGTCTGTCTGTCTGTCTGTCTGTATGTTGAAGTTTCAGCCTGTGTCTATCTGTTTGTCTCTCTGTCCCAACCATTGATCAGAAGGATCCACTGGGGCCAGAGCATAGCCAAGTTCCTTCGCCTTACTGTCAATTCTCCAATCCTACCCTTTCACTTGGGTTCTTTTGTCCATTCTGTCCCTTTCGGCGCCTTTGACTGCTGTGACATCCAGCTCTATCCAGCACTATTTTCCCGATGCTCGTCAATGTTGGTCTCTCTCCCATGTACATTATGATTGCCTGCCGTTTGATCTTGACGGGGCAATCCTCGAAAGGGATGTATGTGCCCTGCCTGTGGCGCTTCACAAAATCGTTGACGCGGATGCGCCCTCAAGAAATTTGCACGCCCTCGCATGCCATGAACGGATAGCCTTCGCCCCATCAAGGGTTGGGAAACCTGACTTCCAATGAAGTATTAAAGGGATTGCCATCAGAGTAGGAGCATCATGACATCTTTCGATGTCTCGCTTAAAAGCATTGGTTGGAGCAAGAAAAGTGAGAAAAAGTAAACGAAAAGAATAATAAGAAGTTTTGTCTCTGTGATGGAAAGACAGCTTTGTCTTCTGGTCCAGCCACCGGCACACTGGGCACAGCGATGTGTTTTCCACTGGAGGCAAAGAGGCTATGGGTAGCTGTAGCTGAAACGAAAATGAGCCTCAGGCTATGATGCTTTCTTCTCCTGACTCTTAGTGCTTCCACGTAGTTGAATCGAGTAATTAGCTTTTGCTGCTTATGGCTTTCTGTAAAATCTCACCGATATCTGCTGAACTTTCCCTTTTAGGAGAAGACAGAAGTCATTTTGCCATTTTGGCCATTTTTGAGACTCGTGCTTTTTTGGGCAATAGTGATGGATTGGGTCGCTTTTAGGACCAATTGCAATGGTTTGAGAGAAATTGAGACTGTTCGCTGGGTGCCTGTTGGACCAGACTGCTGAGGTACCCGATTGTGACTTTTCTGAGTTTGACGAACTCGGCCTTTTCTTGGCCTGGGCATCTGACCCTGAGATCCGAATTTGGGGTCTGAATCGTGGAAAGCCTTTCAAACGCGAACATGTTCCCCTGAACGCGAACAAGTGCCCACTGTGGAGGTCAAGTCCCACTTGCCCAAATTCTCCACTTGCGACCATAGATTATGAAGATTGCATGAAGATCGCTGGCCAGAAATGAAGAATAGGGCCAAGTAGGAGTTGCCCCCAGCTGTCCTGCGGGACATCCGTTAAAACTGGAACGATACAGAGAAGATTACCATGGCCCCTGCGCTTTCAAGGATGACACACATAAATATTAAAAAATAGAGAAATGGTCCCAAAAACTAAAAAAACAAAAGGAGGAGTTGGCCTCGGTAGTAATGGTAATTTACGAAAACCGGAATGAAGAACGCCTCTCATGGGGTCGGTCGCCTAGTAGCTGTTGAAGTGTCTGGTGGTATTGGAAATTGATTTTGCCTAAATGCCCCTGTTGATTTCTGCAGCTGGTCGTGAAAACAAATCGGGGGCGAATTGGGTATGGGAGTGGAGCCGCTGGGCTGTGAAGGACAAGACGGAAAGTTTACAGGATTGCTCTCATCGTGCCTTGGAACAGGTGTGTGCTCTTCTCTATTCTGGAATTTCTGGGCATATTCACTGGATGCTTAGGGTTTTGTCCTGGTTTCTGTTCTTGGGCTTGCTTTCCTACCGTCGGTCCCCGACTCCCCGAACATAACTCATATGCGTTGTATTCGAGTTTTCCAAATAGATCGATTTTTTAATTTTTTTTGAAGTCCATTTTTCCTGAATAGAAGGGCACTTCCAATAGGACGTATATGTGTTGTATTCAAAACGAAGGGATATGCGTTCTATGTTTCTGAAAGGAAAAACTCTGTGCTCGAATTGTGCAAAATGAGAATGAATCTTCGGCTACAACACAGATGAAATGTCCTTCAGGACATCCGTTAAAATTGGAACAATACAGAGAAGATTAGCATGGCCCCTGCGCAAGGATGACACACATAAATCGAGAAATGGTCCAAATTAAAATAATAAAAAAAAAAAAAAAAAAAAAAAAAAAAAAAACACAGATGAAATGAGCCAAGCACTCGTCAAGTTCGACTTCGCATGCATCAATGAACATTCACATGAGAGTTCACACGTGAGAAGTCAAATCGAGATACAATCGACACTTGAAGATGTTGTCTCCAATATTGTTATCTAACATCAATATACAAGAATGTTTGTCTACAGTGGCTCTGCCGCACACACAGATGCAACAGGTCTCAACCAGATAGCGGCTATGGCGTCTCCCTTCTCTCTGTCTCTCTGACTTGACTCGCTCTGCCTCACTCTCTCTCTCTCGTCTCTCTTTCTCTCTCTCTACCCTGGATCGTCAGACTGGATACACCCACTCAGGTAGCTCACGCCTTAGCGGCTATGGCCGCCGTCCTCCTATGGAGTATCTCACAGGCGTGCCCCGCCTTCTTCTTCGGGCGTGCAGCTCCCAAGTTGCCTTAACGCACAAGAAGCAGCAGCGCTTCCACATCTCGCAACTGAACAAGTGATGAGCGCTGCACTGTAGCAGCTAAATATAGGACTGGCCTTGGCTTGGCCTGCTTTAGACTGGTAGCGGTCGGCCGCAGCGTTTCTGCTGCAAACATTTTGTCTGTCCGGTACCTTCCGGACTTTTCCTGGGACATGCTTCAAAACTGGACTTTGGACTGTCGGACCGGACTGGATGCTTCTGGACTTTTCTTGTCGGGTACCGGACGAACTTCTACCTACGTATGACGCTGCGGTACCTGACAACAACCGACCTATGACGTTTCGGATTGCTAGACCCTATGGCCTATCCTACCGGTCTGCCCTGGGACTGGGACCTTGTCGGGACCCTGAGACGGGGACTGGGTGTCTGCCGCATGAATCCTTTCACAGAGGATACATGACCATATTTTGTCTGTGATTCAACAAAGGTACAGTGAGTCGCAACAACCAACTCGAAAAGCAAGAAACGAGGACTCACCTCTCTCTCTCTCTCTCTCTCTCTCTCTCTCTCTCTCTGTGTGTGTGTGTGTGTGTGTGACTCTCTCTCTCTCTCTCTCTCTGCGACCTGTGTGTGTGTGTGACTCTGCGACCTGTGTGTGTGACCCTGCGACCTGCGCTCTGCTGTTCGCACCTCACTCTGACAAGCCGACATGCCGCGTCATTGATCTTCCCATAGAACATTGGCAGATATACCGCCACAATTTTTTTCTTCTATGTGCGTGGTGAGTGGTGGAGAGAGGCTACCAGAAGAGGCTGCTCCTCCAGCTTCTGGGGCACTCCTAGGAGCAAAAAGTCGTTTGCTAGGCCCCTTCGCCACTGCCCAAAACCAAACTTGAACGTAATGCATATGCGCATTAAATGAATGCAACGCAATCCATGCATTTTATTCGTTTACTACGCGTACGAGTTATGTTTTGGGGAGGGTGGTAATTTTCCTTCCTTTGCTGGGTCCCTGTTTCCCCCCCATGTATCAATACAGTAGTGTATGCTTGTGTGTGAAATTGTGAATTGTATTTTCAGTCTGGACTCCGGAGCCCATAAGGACCTCCTCTGCTGATTGTGCTGACCCTTCATGTTCTGCTTAACACCGGCAAAAACTTGCAGGAGAGGAGGTGATGCGGCAGGGAGGTGTTTGTCGGCATGTGGTGCCTGTGGAACCAGTTCTGGCTATTTTTGCCAGCTTCCCTAAACAATGCCGTCGTGGTCTGGGTACAGGCACCCCTGTAAGCTTCCCCACGTACCGGTGGAACCCAAATAGAACCCACGGTGATTACAGCTGTATTTACGGGTGACTTTCACTCGTTATAGCTGCATTTGGGGCAACTGTCCCTCTGGATGCCATGGTGAACGCCGGGTTTTCTGTTGGGGTGAAGACGGTAGGCGAGATGCCTGATTATGTGCGCAGTAGTTGCAGTAACACTCCTGTGCATGCTGCGAAGAAATTTCATGATCCACTGCAGGATAATATAAATTTCAGGATCCCATAGGAAAGAAATTTGACTGGAAAAAAAAAAGAGAAGTGTTAGACTACTCATCTTGTGGCAGCCTGTGTTTGAAGTTTGGAGTTTGAACACATGTTGCCCTTTCACCTGATTCTTGCTGCACCCTTCGGTCTCCTCTGCTCTTCCCCCCCCTTTTCCCACCCTTATTTTTTTACTTGTAATTTTTTTTTTCCCCATCCTGCATTGGCAGATATCAAAGTGCATGTATCAAGTGATATCAACGTGCCAAGCTTTTTCATTGTTTCTTTGTTGTCGCTCATCTGGGCGGATTTCTGCTGTGTTAGTCTCTGGATGGTCTTCACCATTTCTTTGCTTTTCTTTTCTTCTCTTTTCTTCTCTTTTTCCTTTTCTGAGTTTTCTCCCCTTTGTTTTTTTTTTGTGTTTTCCAAAATCTCTGATCCCTGATCAAGCTGTGTTGTTGTTTTGTGCAGATTCCTTGTGTGCAATGCCTCGCCGCATTCCAGAATTCTTAGACACGCTGGCTGCAAGTGTAAATGGGTACCAACCAGTCAGCCAGCTCGGACAACCAGCTGTACGTGTTAAGAAAACCAAAGTCCAGAGGAGGGCAACAAAGCAAGATGAATTTAACGAGTACGTGGAAGGATCCGTAGGGGCGGACGCGCTACATGTATCGGATGGGACGAGCTGTGGGGGATCTCTGAGTCCACAAACGAGCCCTTACGAGCAAGTGCAAAATCAGCCGCCGCTGACAATGCCAGGGCTAGCGCAGCCTTCGCTGCAGTTGCCAGTTCCGTCATTGCTGGCGCAGAACCAGCAACAGATAGAGAACGACTCTGTGTGCTTTGTTGCGAGCTCGCCACATGGAATTGGCGACGATGATGTCAGCGGGGGACTCGTGGTGGACTCGGGAGGAGAGGTTCGGATGGGAGAGGAGGAGGAGGAGGAGGAGGGGGGGGGGATGGAGGAAGAGGACGAGGAAGAGGAAGAAGAGGGAGTCATCAGCAATGGGGAGGGACAGCAGGGGTATTGGGAGGGGGGGAATGCAGGAATAGCCTCGGAGGTGGAGGTCCCACGACCGGGAGAAGAGGCAAATATGCCTATGGCGGATGTCTCGGGCATCGCCACTGGAATCAGCAATGGCTCTGGTCAGGGAACAGGAGATGTGGAAATGGGCGCAAATGGTATGAGAGGGATGCAACAGGATTCATTGCTGGCCTCCATGAAAACAGAGGGAAGAGTGAAACGGAAAGTCACGAAGAAAATCGGGAATGCTGGCACGGAATGCGGGGCCAGTCCGGGGGATAAGAAAAGGAGACTGGAGGACAGGCCCCAACCCACGGCGGCGAGCTCTAGGGTACCAGCAGCAGCGCTATCAGCAGAAGATCGACTTGCCCGCATCCGCAACCTCTCCGCGGAGCTGAAGAAGGCGCACAAGACCATCGCTCGGCTGCGCCTCACGAAAGAGGCTTCCGAGAAAGAGCTTGGGAAAGCTCAGGAGATCTTGCAGGCAAAGCCTCTCCTCGACAAGATCAATGCGACTTCTAAGGTGTGTATGGACAACGGCTATCCGGATGTCATCGGGTTGATCTGTGATGCAATATTGTCAGGATCGCTGCCGATTCCTTCAATCAGGTTTGAGCGACTTGTCACGCTAGGTATCAACTGTAACAAGGAATTCACCAATCAGTTGCAGTACTCTGAAAGAGAAATGCGATACTTCGCATCCCTGAAACGCCAAAGCTGTGCTGCTGCTGTGCTTGAGGCTATGCGTGGTCCAATGAATGCTGGTGGAGGGCATGGGCGGCATGCTGTTCGCTCTGCCCGTATCACAGAGTTCGTTCCTTCCCTGAAAGCCATCGAGCGCTTCGAAAAGCAGATGCAAATGCAGCAGCAGCAGCAGCAACAACAACAGCAAAAACAACAGCAACAGCAAAATTCACAGCAGCCGGAGGAGGTCCCAAGTGCAGGGCAGCAGAACCAGTGTGGGCAGCAGCAGGCGGCATCGGGATCGGTGGGCAGTGGCGGAAATGGCGAAGGCATGGATGGAGGAGGAGTCGTTGACGGTGTTATTTTTGACAGCTGTGCAAACGGAATGATGATGGGCCCGGTTTACGATGGGAACATCTGCCCAACGGTTGGTCTTGGCGGAGGCATTGGGGGGAAGAACGGCAGTGGTGCAGGCGCGATCGTCGGCTGCAATGGAGCGGCTCTCCTTACGACTGCCTCCTCCAGCCCTGGGAGGGCGCTGTCTGCTGGTGCAGGGTCCCAAACTGGTGGACATTGTGTTGAGGGCGTGCATCTGGGAGAGAGCGAAGATGAAGATGAAGTGAGGCCATTACCATCCTCGAACAGGACAGCGGCTTATCCTAACCCAGACGTTCCCAGAGGAGGAGGAGGCTTAATGGTAGGTATGCAACCTGGACTAGAGTTTGTGCATGACGTGGAGGAGACCAAAGTTTTCGATTGCATTCCACGACCACCGCCGCCTGTGCTTCGGCAAGACCAGCAGCAACCACCTCCACAGCAAAAGCAGAAGCAGAAGCAGCAGCAGCAGCAGCAGCAGCAAGCGTCTCAACAGCAGCAACAGCAACAAGCATCGCAGCATCAGGCATGCGTCGGAATTCAAGCATACGAGTATCTGCAGGTCCCTGGAGCACTCCATGGCCTTGGGATAGAACTAGATGCGGGTATGAGGCCGCCTGTTGCATTGCAAACAACATCACCCCAGCAGCAACCACCACCGCAGCAAGTGAGCGCTTTGCAGTTTGACACTAGCCAGATCCAGGTGTCTGGGACAGAAGTGTGCATTGCCACAACTTCTGGGCCTCCACCGCAACAGCAGCATGAGGAGAAGCCTGATTTGCGGCTATTCCATTCCTCAGCGCAACTTCAGCAGCAGCAGGAGCGGCAGCAGCAGCAACAGCAGGCGCAACAACGACCAGAACAAGCGATGGTCTTTGAACAAATGGGGATGGGAGATCTGAGCCATCTTCAGCAGCTGAGCTCTCTGCAGGCGCAAATGAGACAGCTAGAGGCGCCTGTGCAGCTGCGGCAATTGGTGGGAGACGATTTGAATCAGTTTGACCATCTGAGAGTGGAAGCTGCGTTTGGAGAGTGCCAGATGCAGGCAGAGGAGATTGCCCAGTACAACTCTGCCATCGCCACAGCGAGTGCATTGTCGTCACTCTCGCCAACGTCTGTGTTTAATGCTCCTCACGAGCAGCGGCAGAATCCTCGCCAGCAGATACACGAGGCAGCAGGGATAGATTTGAGGTCCCAAAACTATCATAGTGTCATGCCGCCATTCGATTGTGCAATGAGTGGTCGCATGCACAACGAGAGCGGAGTTCTTGGATTGCACTCTCCCCTTGGGTTCCCGCCTTACTTGCTCACGGCTACAGGTCAAGACCTTGGTCGATTCGGGTATCCCAGCTTGCGCTGACTCCTTTCGTCCAGATGAACTGGGAATTGGCTGGAGCGTGTGCACAACCGCATCTTCCGGGGAGTCTTTCTGGGGAGAGGAGCAGAGGGAGCAAACACATCCAGCGGCCTAAGGGATTGACGGTAAGTTGGTAATACAGAAGCATTGATGCATAACAACCCTTATAAGGACCATGGTGCTCTCGATATCTATTATCCCGCACGGGCCGGGCCTTCCCCGTGTGGAACAAGCACATCGGCGCAGTGGTCTTTCTGGACATGGGAAGACTGTGGAAGCCAGCAGGCCGTTTGGATGCAAGTGGGCGTAGCGAGGTGTGTTGTGTCCTTGTGAAATAAGGCCATGGATGGACGTCGGAGACAAAGGCAATCGTCTGCAACTAGGGGAGGGTTGAGCTAGCAGCAGAGTGAATCGGCCCCAGAGTCACTTGGGCCTGCTCCCGGGGTCCTGGCCTGTTTTCGAGATAACTCCAAGCTGGCAAGAAAGAAGAGCAATATCATGTGCCTCTTCCTTGTTTTGTACGCAGCTGCTGAAGTCTCAGAGACAGAATCAAAGGAGATGCAAAGAGCGATATGATGTAAGGTGTGCCACGATTAAGATACGGATGAATCCGCCGTGTGGAGCGGCTGAGCCTCTGAGTTGCCGGGGCCCTGGGTCTCGTCAATCTAAGACGGAAGGGTGGCGTTTGTCATATACCTGGCCAGAGATTGGGAAGCAAGAGGTGGGAGAGGATGGAGGCAGCAGCAGGTTGCAGTAGATACATATATGATCAAATGGAGGAATAGACATGAGGCGGGTGGTGTGGGGACTGCAGCGACTGTTTGGGAGGCGCGGAGGTGATTGAGGAAGGTGGTCCATTCAGCAGACTCCATATTGAGATCTGGATGTAACAAGGGTAGCCAGGGGGGGGAAGGGGGATGGGGGAAGGGGGCCGGGGGAAGGGCTGGGGGTGTTGGGGGTCTTGGGAGTGTTGGAGGTTGATGGGAAGGGGGATCTGGAAGTTGAAAAGGAAAGGAGTGTGGGTGGGAAGTAGTCGGCATTTGACTCTGACCAGTCAGAGCAGGTGCTTGCTGTTTTGCGTGCTTTTTTTTTATGTGTGTTGACAGTATGATGGCTACGGAAAACCTATTGTCGCGCAGGGGGCTGGACGTGAGGGATGCGATGGATAAATAGGTCCTGTCCTGATTTGTTCTCAAGGGGGCATGGGGGCAAGATCTCCAATAGGATGAGGTGACTGTTGGGGCAAGATCTCCAGTACGATGAGGTGACCGTTGGATGGACATGCGAGTGGCGTGGGCGCCAGATGTCAGAAGAGGGACCAGTTCTGCTGCTGGCATTTTTTGCTGGGGAGCAAGCTGAGGATTCGTTGCAGTTGCCAGGTTGTAATTTTCTGACCAAGGAAGAGTAGAGGGAGCGGGGCTGGCTAGTGCACACAGCTGGTGTCTGAAATTTTGTTAGCCGTTGTGCGTTTAAGCTGTGTGCCGATGGAGAGAGCGATGCTCCGCGAGACGACACGTCATCATCAGCTTGATGATGTTGAAATGGCTGTAGAACTGTGAGGTGTCAGATTACACAGTTCACATCCCGCGGATAGAGACCTGCTGACAAGAAGAGGGCAATGCTCAGTGTACAAGTCAGCTGGGAAAAAGGTGAAGGACGGCAACTTTATGGTGGGTATAGGTGGAGGGGGGGGGGGGGGGGGGTTGCAGAAAATACCAGGAAGTTGCACGACATCCGTCACTCGTCCACTCTGTTCGGCGGTGTCGGTGCAGCGAAGGCCAGCCCTCGGAAGACGGGATGTAAGCATTCCATATGCACAAGGAAGTAAGTATCGCATGGGCGAGGGGTTGCGTGGAATCTTTATATCTATCTTTGATCTAGATGAAGATGATTAAGTGCTAGTAGGTAACGAATGACCATCGTGGGTTTCGTAGGGTGAAAGGCGATGTGCGAAACGCAGTGATAGGATGCCAACAGGTAATCGGTCGACGGGCGAACAGTGATGACTGCGATGTCGATGCCGATAATCCTCCTATCGTATGACCGTGTTCGTATGGTCGCCCGGAGTTCTAATATTTTCCGCAAGGTGTAACAGGAACTACCTTGTTGAGATAGTGTACATAACTGTTATCTCCCCCTTGTTATTCCCGCTGTAATGGTAAGAACACCATGTTCAGACCTACATAGAAAGGGATAGGCCTGAAGAACAGGAAGTGTATAACAAGGGGAAGCTGTTTGTGTTTTTTGAGTTGTGGAGGCAAGTGAGAAAGGGGGGAGGGGAGAGGAGATGATGTCACTTGGCCTGCATCCAACCATGATATAGGAATAGGCTTAAGGCTACAGAAGCACAAGCACAACATCCGGTGCTTGAACCTGCAAGCAGCTGGTTTTAGGGTGTACAGCATGTGGGTCTGTTGTCTCTTCCTGCGCGAGTTTCAACAGAGGACCGTTGCAACTCCTTTCCGTAGTAGTCTGGGATCTTGCACGTGCCATAGTGTGGGGACCTGATGAAACTAGTGAAGGCTGTGTGAGCATGAGAAAGAGTGACAACATGAGATAACCCTCCAACCCAATGCCCTCTTGACCAGTCCTCTTCTCTCGCTCCATCCCTTTTCCCCTGCATC